AAGGATAAATTGAGAAAAAAAAAAAAAAGTGTAAATGTATGTCAAAGGTTGTCAGAATAAGATCAAGTGGGGGTATTGAACTGTTGTGAACAATTCATCTCTTGAATGCTCTTATGCTGACGTCATATCTGTCAATCACACAGCTGGTTCTAATAAAGGGATCATTGCTGGCTCACTCGTCAGAGGGGATTCAGTCAGTGTCATGTGAACTGCAATGCAAGTGTGTGGCGTCTTTTATTCCTCCGTAGTATTAGTCCAAGGCTATCTAGACCTTTGCTGGTAATGGCTGCTGCGCCAACACAAACTACCTAAACTAGTTATAAATATGTTTATTTTTACTGTTGGGTCACTCATTACTGGATCAGCCAGCTGCATGAGACCACGGATCCCTTATATTATTATATAGAGTCGTTATTCATTTCTTTTAAAGCTCAATAAATAACAAAGAAAATCTTTGAACGGCACTTTTCTAATTTTGTCTGGAAGATTTAAACTTTAATGGACATGTTGACCGGCGAAACCCCACCTCTGCTGCTAAATCCAGCGCGGAGAACAGAAGGGCAACCATGGCAACCATGCATGCGCGGGAAATCTTCTTCGCTGCTTTTGGCGTATTTTGTGGCGGAAGTACAGCGCCAAATACAGGCCCGGCATAATACTACAGCGTCTCCAGCGGGTCGAGCGGTCTCGTGTGAACCATGGTGTGAACGGACACGTTTCTGGTGCCTATTGCGTCTGGACCTTTATATATACAGTCTATGGTCTGGACGGAAGACTTTTTTGATAACGATTTTGGTTTGTTTCCGTTATCGTGCTCGTGTGGCTGCAGCCTAAATCAGAACCTTTAAACAATTCTTTAATGCATATAGCTGGAAGAAACATGATATTATATTGCCAGTGGCCAAATTGTACTAAATACGAAAGTGTAACGAAGGAAATATTCCATTTTATTATTTGGAATATATTGATTGTTATTAGGTGAGGGATTCAGAAAGTGCTTTTGGATTTTTATCGCATATCATATATTTGCCCAACATTATTAGAACCAGAACAAGCTGGGTAATAGCGATAATTACCAGAGCGTTTGTATAACTTCTGTCTGACCACTTATAGATTGTCAGTGGTTCTGCACAGCTTTCTCAAATAAATTCCGTGCAGAAGTTACAAATTCATTAATCACAAAAACTCTCACACCCAATATTTACTTTCAGTTCAGCAGCCTCTCAGTGAGGCATACAAACATGAATACTGGTGAATTAGAAGAAAGGAAACTAATAATTTGTTTCATTTTTTAATAGTTCTGCAAGCACGCACATGCAGCTTTTTTTCTGGTCTCTAAGCTTTGTTAATTATACTGTAGGTTTACTTTGTATTAGATGCACATTTGAATGTTACTCTTTTTCGCATAAGGAAATACAAGATGCAGTAATAGCATCATTTAAAATGATGAGTTTAAGGTGATTAAATTGCTGTCACTTTAAGGGCAACATCCACTAAACGCATGAAATAAAAACATTTGTTTTACCATTAATGGGGGGCGAATTTGTTATTGTTGGAACATTGAACATTGTGGAAAAAAACATGTATTTAGCCTATAGGGAGGTGTGATCAGTAGTGATTTTAGCGATCTAGATATACTGTATAATGAGAGCAGTAGGTCAGAGGTCATCACACACCCTGTGGAGTAGGGATGTACTAACATCAGAACCGCACCCCCCCAGCATCTCTACTATCAAACAACAACAACTGCAACATTGGAGGCAAAGTGTCTGTGATGGTATCTCTTGAACACAGCAAATCCCAGATCTGCCCTCTGATTGGAGGAGGGAGAGGAAATCCTCATCTTGAGTCCCACAATCATTAGCATAAATCACAGCTGCAATTAAAACCTCGTTTATCTTAATTACTGAACTAATGAGACGAGTCCCGCAGGAGCGAGCCGTGCTCTCCGAGGACACTTGGTGTGAGGAGCGGGAGGGCGCGGGTGGGGGGGGGCGTTGTGCGGAGTCACACTTAAGTCTGCAAACAAGCATGCCCTCACTAATCTGACTGCAGCACAGCTCATGAGCCTGGATAGACAGAGACACATGTGAAAGTACAAGCACACACAGGGAACCACACAGGCATTTGGAAATTATCTGACAACCTTACCCTCCCACCTTTATCTAGTGGCGCCGCATCACCCTTCAACTTCCATTATCTATCAAACTTCTAATGATTGTATCAAGCCTACAGTCTCCATCTCCATAAGGGCTCGGTGTGTGGTGCTATAACTCTTGATTTTGCAACGACTGGGAATACATCGCAAGACCTAATTAATGTCTTTTTAATGCTCTTCTCCTCTAGAGCTTAACTCAGCCCTTCAACTTTCCAGCAAACACACACACACACACACACACACACACACACACACACACACACACACACACACACACACACACACACACACACACACACACACACACACACAACAATAAAACATGTGGCAGCAGATGGTAAGTAAGACTGAGTAGGTGTGCGCACTGAATAGGAGCAAAGTGTTTATGGTGAGCTCCATGAAAAAGTGGGCTGGGCTGTGCACTGTAGCATGGACTCTCACAAATAATACATGACGGCACACATGCTCTCTCTCTCACACACACACAAACACACGAGCAGGGTCAAATTCCTTCGTTCAGCCGTGAGGTCAGGCAGTGACTCAGCAGATGGCATAAGAATGAATATCTTCATCACCCACAATTCCCATGGTGCAGCAGGGCTGATCAAGCAGTGCCAGCCCTTATCAGCCAGCTGGCAACACTGGAGGCAGCGATGTCCTTCCATCCTGGCGCTGTGGGCTCGACAGGGGGCACGCAGAGTTTAAAGAATACAGTCTACATGCTGTAATCCTCCCAATGGTGTTTATTTCCACCACAGATCAATGTTTCAGACCTGAAGGATCTCCGAGGGATTGCTAGTCCTTCAGGAGCGAGGCGTTGATCGTGATGAAAATAAAACACCCTGCAGGGTTATTAAAGCAATATTACATCAGTGCATGGACCGCCGAGTCAAATATGTTGCGTTTCATCTTAATAGGAATATGGAGTTTACTAAGAGGGGTAATCAAAAACCTAAAAAAAAGGACTGCATCTTACAGAAACCTGTTCAAACAGCCACATCCGGAAAAAGTTTTGACAGGAACAAACAGAAGATATATGGATCAAATATTTAAATAACAGGTGTGAAGAGGTTCTCTTTCGGCATCACTAAGATATATGATAAAGACACATTCAGGTGCTTTAATGCCTATAAATAAGTCACAAATATCCATAATTCAATCATTTACCATCATTAAAGTGTGGGAGCCATTGGTGTGTGGCACAGTGGGTTAGTGCGTTGGTGTTCGGATCATGGGGTCACAGGTTCAAACCCCACTGAGGTCAGCATGTCGTTGTGTCCCTGGGTAAGACACTTCACCCCAAATTGCTCCTGTGGTGATTGCCCACAGTATTGAGTATGTAAGTCGCTTTGGATAAAAGCGTCTAACAAGTGACATGTAATATAAAGTTATTTGATGGTCAAGTTACAATAGAAAATGAATTTTGGTAGCCATAAAGATAAATATATATAACCTTCTGTGTGCACATTATAAACACAAAAAGAAAGAGATAGAGTTTTATAGATGTTACCGCAAGAGTTATGTAGAGAATTGCCATTTTACTGAGCGTTGTTAACCTAGTTAGGCTTAATCCATTGCAATCTCCCTGTGAGTTAGATAACCTGGTTATGTGTAAACATGACAACAGCATTAATCTGAGATGTGACTTAATGTAGTTATAAAACACTGGAGAGAACGAAACCACAGCGTTTGCCACAGCACGCATTTCTCTGTTGCTTTTTGTAGCTTCTTTCCGTACAAGCTTTCCCCATCTAGTGTGGCCACATTTATCCATTCATGTATTTTTTTACACACGCTCCACAAACAGTGCTGAGCGCAGCGATGTGTACTGAAAGTTACATTTTGAGTGGTAGAAGTTAATGAGGAATGCTGTCCAGGTCACAATGAAGTGTAATAGGGCAAAGCCCTCAGCATCACTCTTACGCTGAGTAAAACAGTGTGGTAACACTACAGCACAGAAATACAAATGAGCATAAAAACTTAACTTCTGCCAACACGTATTGCTTTTTCCACTTGCTCCTAGTACCAAAAACATAATTAAAGTTAATGTTAAAACTGCGAAAAGGATTTGGAATCATCTTCCTGTGACAACATAGATAATGCTAAATATTAAAGAAACTCGATAGGGAGAATCCTAGATAAAGATCAACAGCAACATCTAACTTAAAGCTCCTTGCCCTGAAGGGGAATCTGCCCACTAAAATGTTAATGGAAATCTGTTCATGAGTTGTGGAGATATCCTCCTGGCAGAGAGACAGACAAAATAACTGGCAGGCACAAAACACATCCTTGGCAGAGGTAAGAAAACTCTTGAGGAGTATTAAAGCAGGATCACAGTTATAACCTTGTCAGCACTGTGCACACTGTAGCTTCCTCTCATCTCCTTTAGTTTAAAACTCTCAGGTATAGTAACACCTACACCAAATAAGGGTCTCATTAGCATGATCTCAGCGCCTTTAATGCCGACGGCTTGCGTGAGGTTTTTAGTAAAACAAATCGAACAACACACAACAAGTAGACGGGAACGGAACAAATCATGTGATCACAGTCTTCTGCCGAAGGTTACATTTGTCACTCTGACAAACCATAATCCTGTTTTGATGGCAGGAGCCAACTTGTGAATGATAACACTAAATGAAGGCTGACGCGCGCACGACTGCACCAAACAGTGATTAATAACTGCTTACGGGAAACCTATTCTCTAATTCTGAGGCTGCTCTCTGCAGGTATTGACTAATGTGCTTGATGAGACTTGTCTATTATTGCTTGTGGGATTATGATAAGAGGTGATCGATTCCCCCTCTGTGTGCTGTGGGTGTCAGATTGATTATGTGACTCAGACCTGCGATGATGGTGTAGCCGATGCCCCTCGGTCGCCCAAGATCCTGGTCAATGGCTGTTATCTTACGCACGACGTGGCCCTGCAGAGACACACACACACAAAAACATACTGTTACATAAAAGTACTCTCACGGTTGTATTTTTTACTGGCAGTGGAATCACTTTCATCTGACCTGTTATCGATGACAAGAAACCTAGTATCACAGCTATCGGCAAATTAAACGATCAGATTCCTATTATTTGTTTTTGCTCTTTGATACATGCAGAAAATAATGATAGTGGCATTTTTCATATTGTAAACAATATGTGGATTTTTTGGCCATTCAGTTTGCAGTTAATCATTAAAAACTGCAAGTGGAGCATGAGATAGGAGACACAATATTTTACTGTGAAAATATTTATCATGAGTGAGCACTTTTTTCCCACACAAGACAATGGTTTTTGATGTAAGTGTAGTTTATTTCCAATGCCCCACTGCAATTCAGCCTGAGAAGCAACGTTAACAATGATTATGAAGGGTTTTGTTTGCTTTGATTTACCCTTTCTTGGTCTCTTAAACTCTCTGGCTTCGCCAAAGGGTCCTTACCTTGACACAACCACATATGACAGTTAAGGAAAAAATAGAAAAGGAAACACAGAGGGCTGCTTGAAAAGTCTTTGATCCGCTGAGGTTTCTTAGCCTTCGTGCCTCAATCAGGCATGGTGGTGATACTTAAAAACCCCTGTGCTGCAGTGAGAGATGGAGAGACCCTCCATACTTCCCAATAGCTTTCCTCCTCTTCTCCCCCTACCCTCCTTTGCTCCATCACATCCCCCTCTTAGCTCTCTCACTCACACCCAGGCAAGCTGCCTCCTATCGATTCTGCAAATTGTGTCTACGGCATGTTTATGCTCCATTTCAGCCAAAGCATCTCCTGTCATTGACCAATTACAGGAGAATCAATTACAAGCCTTTTAGAGGGACTGATTCACACCAATCACAAGCTGAGAAGGAAACACACACACACACACACACACACACACACACACACACACACACACACACACACACACACACACACACACACACACACACACACACAGAAGATTTAGGGACATACTAAGAGAGAAATAAGGGACAGCGAATGAGGAGAAGAAGTGATGCTGAAGTAATGAGAGCAATATTCTCGAGCTGTCCACACAAGTGGAAAATGTTCAATCAACCATCACATGTGCAATCCCCCTCCTCCGCACGCGCGCACACACACACACACACACACACACACACACACACACACACACACACACACACACACACACACACACACACACACACACACACACACACACACACACACCTCCCCAAAGTCGAGCCAACCATCGTCTCCCCCTCTTCATCCTTTCATTTCTAGATATACAGTGCATTGCCCCCCCAACGCATTCTCCTTTTCGTTCTTTCTACTCATTGATTTGACAGCCAAATTGTGTTTTCCTAGAAGAAGCTTAAACGTCAGTCCAAGCAGCATGGATTCACAGCTCTAACAGCCGAAAACCCTGCCCTGTGATTTCATCTGAAAAAATAGGAAAATAAAAAAATCTTCTACTCCTTTTTTCCAGGGATGACGGGTTGATTGGCTGGACAAAAAGAGAAAGACAGACATGGAGAAACAAACAGGAACTGAGAAGCAGGGAAAAAGGGGGTTTGTGTGTGTGTGTGTGTGTGTGTGTGTGTGTGTGTGTGTGTGTGTGTGTGTGTGTGTGTGTGTGTGTGTGTGTGTGTGTGTGTGTGTGTGTGTGTGTGAGAGAGAGAGAGAGAGAGAGTGTGTGCACTCACACCTTTGAGAAATGACCTATGACAGGGATGCAAGTTTGATATCCCTTTACGTGTAAATGTCACAGGCCTTGAGAATAGTTGACACTCGCTCCGTCATGTACGCCCTCGGCTTATCACCGCCAAACACTGCCTAATGGAAATGACACATGCCCATTAGAATAGAACATGAGTGCATTGAAAGAGTGTGTGTGTGTGTGTGTGTGTGTGTGTGTGTGTTTGTGTGTGTGTAAAAGCGGCAGCGTTGGCCTGTAATGGTGCGTCTTCTCCGTTAATCTGTTGTAGGGTCAGCGGGCTCTGTAACAGATTTTGGTTGCACTCCTACCGTGATCAAGTACTTACATTTTTCAGTAATAGGATTAAACAGTGCCCTCTACTGTTAGAGGCAAGAGCTACAAGACTCCCGGGCAGTCTTACTGAGGCTTAGCGCTGCTCAACTGCTCTGACAAATCTGGAATCCACTCACCAATGTCAACTTTGTGTTCCGGGGTAACACTGCTCCTTTTAACTTTCTCTTCTTTAGTACGCCACCTAACTTTTTCCTAATTTCCTTCCCCCAAACATCTCCCTCACATTCTACCCCCACTTACAGATCCCCCTCCTCCCCCTCCTCTTCCTCCTGTTGTGACCTTCCTGGTGACAGTTGATGAATCAGAGAATCGGGGAGACACCGGGCGTCGACACAGTCACGCCCCGTTAATATGCATGCAAATGTAGCACTTGACATTTCTACTACAGTGCGTGCAGGCCAGGGACGAGGGGTATTCGGTGGGGAGGGGGTGGTGCTGAGGGCGGGGGGCTAGTCAGGGGAGAGACTTTAGTGAGAGGCAAAATAAAACTGATAGAGACAGAGAGAACAGAAATAAGGACGGACAGCATTACGCCCCTGTGTGTAATTCCCTCTCTACGAATGGAAACATCAATAGCCGGACCATTAGCCACCTGGGAACAGAGTTTAGAGGGCTGAGTCAGGGGACTGAACATAATGGTTTACAGGGAAAACAGACACTCAGTGTATCAGATAGACATTACAGACCTACTTGCAATAAAGACACAGGTAGGGTCACGGCAAGACTCCCTGCTTAGTACTTCCTCCAATGCAAAGACTTCATGCTTCACACACATGCAGCAGTATGAGCATGAGGCAGCATGGGGAGATAAATCCTATAGCCCCCAGTGACCTTTGCTGGAGGCCTCACATCCCTGAAGCAGAACTGTAAATCTCCCGCAGTAATTACAGACTCCAACACCCGCACTGCTGTATGTAGGGGCAGAGTTTGGGTGTGTGTGAGACATCCAGCCCCGATAATAACTCAGGCCTAGATTTTTAACCACGTTTCTCTTGCACCCGCTCCAAACACCTACTGAATAATCAAAGAGGAGTATGAACATGGGACAGGAGGAGCTTGGGAAGAGCAATGAGGTCAAAAATAAGTGGAATATGTTGGCAATAGAGAAAGATGGGAGAGGAAGAAACGGATAGATTGGCATAAAAGCTGCATGGATAGAATAAAAGCTGTGGATGTGTGGAGTTAGTTGGGATTGTAATACTGACCAGAGGCACATCCTCCTCTATGTTGGTGCTGTAGGGCAAGTTAGTGAAAATGGGGTCCATGTCCTGGACATCAGTGATGGTGATGGCTAAGTTGGCCAGCCGGGACAGGGGTCTCGCTTTGTCTTGATCCTGAGAAAACAGAAGAGTATTCAGTATATATCTAAAGTGTACAGGGATTGTCTTGTATGTGTATGCTCACCGTGGCGTTGACAGTGAGCTGGTAGGCTGAGGTGGTCTCGTAGTCCAGGGGCTTGGTGACGGTGACGGTGCCCCGGGCCCCGTCGATGGAGAAGAAGGGAGAAGGGGGCTGAAAGGAGAAGAGAACGCTGCCTCCTGTGCCCTGGTCTGGATCTGTGGCGTTCACCATGAACACTGATCTGCCCGCATGTGTGTTCTGAAACACACATTCAACACACAGTATTAGTATACTGACAAACAGCATTATGGACAATATCGAAATACATGCCTGGATTTACACTCTAATAGAATATCTGTATTGCCAACATGTTCAGGGTGTCAAATTATGACCTTTGTGTGGTTTACACAAAAGCCTTACTAAATAGCCATCCATCAGGACTTAATTAAGTCATCATTTAAGGATCACAATGTCTCAGTTTTCACAGCAATGTTCAAATCCTTACCCTGCAGCAATGTGCTTGAATCAAGTGCGCAAATAGAAAGGCCATCTTTCTGGATAAATAAAAGCAGTGATTTACTTTGCTGTTCCAACCACTTGTGTTATGGCCATTGGCAATTCAATGCTCCAAATGGCAAATTGTAGAGAGAAAAAAGTATGTTCTTATTCCAAATGGATAAAAAAGTGAAGATATAACACAGTTGAACATCAAACTGCCTCTGAAGTTCTATACTTCTCACTCAAAGGAATAGTTTCCCACAAAATGAAAATGCAGTCAATCGCTCACACCTACACATTAAGTGAGATTTGTAGGACTACAGTCTCGAGCTGGGCGATGTGCAGCCGCAGCATCAGAGCTACAAAAACCCTTTGACCATGGTGCAAGATCTATTGGAGAATAAAAAGGAAATTTGCAGCTCTGAAAAGTCTGTCACATTAAGATTTCTGTTCAAAGGGTTCAAAGAAGGCTGAGGTGAGGCCATGGTGTTATATTGATGTGTGGGGGTCCAACAAACCTAACTGGAACATTGAATGCCACTGTATGGGTGTCAAAAAAATAATGACAACATTTTCATTTTGAACTGAACTTTTCTGATTGCCTTTCGTGCATGGAGACGGTTTCAGATGTGACCATAGCCAACAGGCAGCAGAGTTTAATTTGGCCACACAGGATATGGCATCTCAGTTAGACATAACGTCTGTTGCATTGTGACTGCCTCTGATAAAACTGATTTTACTCTCACAATAGTGCACCTTCGATGGTGTGGGATATTCAACCGTCAAAAAGATATTTCTCCAACCTTGTTGTCTGAAAATATAAGCGTTGCCTCTCTATTTACCTCCCAAAATTGCTTTGGATGTCTAAAAGCAAGAAAAAAAAGTCAAGAAATGTCATGCCATGTCAGAGTACGGTCTGTCTTGGTCATAGTCAGTGTGGAAACCCAGGAGATCAGGAGGCCATATAAAGAAACAGTCCCCAGGTAGAGAAGCTTGTCGGTAAGTTTGAGGAACATTCTTATTAATTGGAATTTTATCTCAAAGCAGCCACACACACACAATTAATAAGAAATAGAAATGCCTACAGATAGAAGACAAAAAAAAGGTTGTACTGGAGCACGAGAGGTATTCTAGCTGTATAACTGGAAAGACACACTCGCACGAGGCTCCTGTTCTCCCAATCTCACCCCATTAGCACATGCAGTACATGGTGTCATATGTTGGAGCAGGGATTGATATTCACGGTAATTTATGGAGCCAATTTTCCAGGTAAGATGCCGGTAGAGGCTGTGCTATGAATTAAAAAGTAATATTGCGTCCCAGTAATTTACCGGGAAGTGTGTGAGAAAGAGACTCTTACACACTCACCTGCGCCCACACACAGTTCAGAATGTGTTACCTTTACTGGGGGGGGAAGAGCGTGACCACATAGGGAGGTCGTGGTGCTGAATGGAGCTGGGCCCTGAGCCAAAGATTAAGTGACACACAGAAAGAGAGCAGTTGACCCCACAGTCTGTCTGCACAGGTGTCAGGAGGGTGCGTTTACATGTGTATGTGTGCATGCAAACTTTTACTATTGAGTATAAATCTGTGTTTGTTTGAATTGTTGGTTTAGTATGTCCATTTGCTGACAGCGCCTGCGGACGTAAGTTTGTGTGTGTTTAGACCTTTTAACCCACTGCACTCTGAAAACTGGGTGGGAGTTTCAGCAACAGCTCTAAACTGGTTTAGCTCCTACTTAAAGGACAGAACAAACTTTGTCTCAATAGGCAATTACAAATCAACCCTGACAAAATATGCTGAAGTTCACTGCTGTGAGGAGTCCAGTTCTGTCTCTCATTCTCTGGTCCTGCCTGTCTGCATCACTTGGACACCTTAAACAAACAGATAT